CCCTAGGTACTGGAAGGCTGCTATAAGGTCTCCCTGGAGCCTTCTCTTCTCCAGGCTGAACGGCCCCAACTCTCTCATCCTTTCCTAATAGGAGAGGTGCACCAACCCTCTGATCATCTTTGTTGCTCTCTTCTGGACTTGCTCCAATAGGTCCATGTCCTTCCTATGTTGGGGGCTCCAGAGCTGGATGTAGTACTCCAGGTGGGGTCTCACAAGAGCAGAGTAGAGGAGGAGAATCACCCTCGACCCTCCCTCGACCTGCTTTCTGGGCTGCAAGTGCACATTTCTGTGTCATGTCAAGCTTCTCATCCACCAGCACCCCCAAGTCCTCCTTAGGGCTGCTCTCTCAATCCATTCTACCCAGCCTGTATTTGTGCTGGGGATTGCCCTGACTCAGGTGTAGGACCTTGCACTTGGCATTGTTAAACTTGATGAGATTTGCACGCATGGGCCCATCTCTCAAGCCTGTCAAGGTCCCTCTAGATGGAATCCCTTCTATTGTGTCAACTGCACCACACAGCTTGGTGTCATCAGCAAACTTGCTGAGGGTACACTCAATCCCACTGTCCATGTCGCCAGTTCCTTGAGGAATGCCACTCATCACTGGTCTTCACTTGTAATTGAGCTGTTGACTACAACACTCGAGTGTGACCATCCAACCAATTCCTTATCCACCAAGTGGTCCACCCATTTAATCCATGTCTCTCTAGTTTAGAGACAAGGATGTAGTGTGGGAAAGTGTCAAATGCTTTGCATGAGTCCAGGTAGATGATGTCAGTCACTCTTATCCACCATACCTGTAACCCTGTCACAGAAGGCCACCGAATTTTTCAGGCATATTTTCATAGAATCATAGAATTGTAGAATATGCTGAGTTGGAAGGGACCCATCAGGATCATCAAGTCCAACTCCTGGCCCTGTGCAGGACACCCCGAGAATCACACCATGTGTCTGAGAGCATTGTCCAAACCCTTCTTGAGCTCTGGCAGGCTTGGTGCTGTGACCACTGCCCTGGGGAGCCTGTTCCAGTGTTTGACCACCCTTTGGGTGAAAAACTTTTCCTGATATCCAACCTAAACCTCCCCTGACTCAGCTTCATGCTGTTCCCTGTCACTGGTCACAAGAGTGAAGAGATCAGTACTTGCCCCTCTGCTTTCCCTCGTGAGGATGTTGAAGACTGCAATGAGGTCTCCCCTCAGGCTCCTCTTCTCCAGGCTGAACAAACCAAGTGACCTCAGCTGCTTGTGGTGCCCAAAACTGCACACAGTACTCAAGGTGAGGCCGCACCAGCACAGAGTAGAGTGGGACAGTCACCTCCCCTGATCGACTGGCGATACTTTTCCTGATGCACCCCAGGGCACAGTTGGCTCTCTTGGCTGCCAGGGTACACTGCTGACTCATTCAACTTGCCATCGACCAGGACCCCCAGGTCCCTTTCCGCAGCGCTGCTCTCCAGCCTCTCGTTCCCTAGTCGATACACACAAGCAGAGTTGCCCCATCCCAGGTGCAGAATCCAGCACTTGCCCTTGTTAAGCTTCAGTTGGTGATTGCCCATCTCTCTAATTTGTCAAGGTCTCTCTGCAGGGCCTCTCTGCCCTGGATGATGTTGACAGCTCCTCCCAATTTAGTGTTGTTGGCCAACTTACTTAGTATTCCTTTGAGTCCTGCATCAAAGTCATTAATGAAGATGTTGAAGAGAGCTGGGCCATGGGTGGAGTCCTGCGGAACCCCACTAGTGACTGGACACCAGCCTGATGTTACCCCATTCACTATAACTTTATGCCTGACCTGTAACCCAGTTGCTCACCCATCACGTAACAAGGTTATTCAGCTGTATGCTGGACATTTTGTCCAGAAGGATACTGTGAGAGACAGTATCAAAAGCTTTGCTGAAGTCCAAAATGATTACATCTACTGACTTTCCTAGATCAACTAGGTGGGTTACCCTGTTGTAGAAGGAAATCAGGTTTGACAGGCAGGACTTCCCCCTCATGAAGCCATGCTGGCTGTGACCAATGTCTGCATTGCTCTCCAGGTGGTTTGCAATACTTCCCAGAATAATCTTTGCCATGATTTGCCCTTAGCGAAGCCATGCTGTTACCAATCAACTACTTATTTTCCATGTGTCTTAGCATAGTTTCCAGGAGGATCTGCTCCATGATCTTGCTGGGCACCAAGGTGAGACTGACTGGCCTGTAGTTCCCTGGGTTTTCCTTATTTCCATGCATTGGGTTTGCATGGCAAGGTTTTGGTAGCAGGGGAGTGGCTACAGGGGTGGCTTCTGTGAAAAGCTGCTAGAAGCTTCCTGTATGTTTGATGGAGTCAATGCCAGCTGGCTCCTAGACGGATCTGCTGCTGGCCAAGGCCAAGCCAATCAAGGATGGTAGTAATGCCTCTGTGGTAATGTATTTAAGAAGGGGAAAAAGTTATTGCACAGAAGCTTTTGCATCTAGAGGAGTGAGAATATGTGAGAGAAACAACTCTGCAGACACCAAGGTCAGTGAAGAAGGAGGGGGAGGAGGTGCTCCAGGCGCCAGAGCAGAAATTCCCCTGCAGCCCATGGTGAAGACCATGATGAGGCAGACTGTCCCCCTGCAGCCCATGCAGGTTAATGGTTGAGCAGGAATCTACCTGTAACCCATGGAGGACCCCACACCAGAGCAGGTAGATGCCTAAAGGAGGTTGTTACCCTGCAGGAAGCCTGTGCTGGAGCAGGCTCCTGGCAGGACATGTGTACCCATAGAGAGAAGAGCCCATGCTGGAGCAGGTTTGCTGGCAGGACTTGTGACCCTGTGGGGGACCCATGGTGGAGCAGCCTGTTCCTGAAGGACTGCATCCTGTGGAAGGGACCCACACTGGAGCAGTTTGTGAAGATCTGCAGCCTGTGGGAAGGACTCACATTGGAGAAGTTCATGGAGGAGTGTCTCCTGTGGGTGGGACCCCACGCTGGAGCAAGGGAACTGTGTGAGGAGTCCTCCCCCTGAGGAGGAAGTAGCAAGGAGACAACATGTGATGAACTGACTGTAACTCCCATCCCTGCACTAGTGGGGCAGGCAGTAGAGAACTGGGAATAAAGTTAAGCCCGGGAAGGAGGGAGGTGTGGGGGAACATGTATTTAAGATTTAGTTTTACTTCTCATTGCCCTACTCTGATTTCATTGGTAATAAATTCTGTTAATTTCCCCAAGTTGAGTCTATTTTGCCTGTGACGGTAATTGGTGAGTGATCTCTCCCTGTCCTTATCTCAACCCATGAGCCTTTCATTATATTTTCTTTCCCCTGTTCAGTTGAGGAGGGGGATTGAGAGACTGGCTTTGGTGGGCACCTGGCATCCAGCCAGGGTCAACCCATCACAGTCCTTTTCAGTACCCAATGTGGGGCTTGAGACAATGACAGTTTTATATTAAGTGTGCTATAGCTATGGTAGCTATTAAGTGGCAAGCTGTGCAGGACACGGAGTTTTTCAGCTGCACTGCTTATCTCTTTATTCTGCTGAGTTTGGAAAGGTTAGTACAAATAATGGCTCTGTGCTTTGCCCTGGCACTGATGGCCTTGCTGTGCTGAGGGAGCTATTTTGTGGGGAGGATGAAGTTGAATTAAGGTGTTAAGGGAATTGGTAGCTGCAGTTGATTCACTTGATTGTTAGCTTTCATGGTTGCTGGATTATTTTTTTTTTGTGGGAAATTTAAATTTCTTTAAATTCAACTTAGGTTAAGATGCCTGACCAAATAAGTGAAACTATTAAAAAAAAAAGTGAAACTTCAAGTACTTTTGTTGAACTCTTCCTAGCTCATTTTTTATTTGCTAGTTGACTTCTGTTGTACTTTTATTCCTCTAGTATATTTAAAGAAGATAGATGGTCTATTACATGTAAGTAGCTTCTGATTTTCAGATCCTTGGAAAATAATTCTTACTGACACTGAACTGTTGTGCATAACACAATAAATGAGATTTGCTTATAGGTTTTCTTTTGTGGAGTGTTTCACAAGTGATCCACAGTGCTTTAGTTGTCTGCAAGATGAATGTATTCCTAGAGAAGTTCTTTTATTGTAAAGGATATTAACAGGTGTAGTCTTGTCTTTGGCATCAGGAATCAATATTTATGGTCTTTCAGATCGCATTGTTTGCCTTAACCTTAGAGCTAGTTATGTTCCTGTGTGCTTCTATGTGTAACATTTCTTTGTATTCATATTCAAAAAGGTGTTCAGCTGTACCTATGTTATGTTTTGTTAAGAAAAGTTTTCAATAAAGGGGAACAGAAATGTTTTTCTGTGTTGAATGTTTGCTAGGGAGTAACTTTGAACTGACAGTGTTACAGGGCAGAATAGATTGTTGTTTTGTTCCTTTGTACTTTCCTTACCAGCTTCACTGTAATGCTATTAAAAGCATTTTACTATTTGAGTCATGTGAACTGAAAGTTAGATGCATTTGAGTGGTCATATGGGAAGGGATTGCATGTTGCTCCCAGTTATCTGACAGTCCTGTCTTAGTTAAGGTAGTTGAGGCAGAGGGTGCCACAGCTTCCTTTAGTTTCCTGCCTTCCTTGTAATTTTAATATAGTCTGCTTTTATGGCTCTATCCTGGTGCTTTTTGCTACAATGTACGTGTTCCTTCCATCTAAAATCAATATTGATAGCAATAACCTTAATTTCTCTTTCCTGCTTTGAAATTAAAAAAAAAAGTATTTTCCTGACTGTGTACACTAGGTTTTTTGCTAAAGGATTCCTTTGGAAGGTTTGGTCACTGTTTGTGTAGAAATTTTTTGTGACAATTTTGTTAATTAAGAATGTACTAAACTGGCTTTTCTGTTTCGGAAGATTGGCATTTTTCATTATGCAAGTGTATTATGTTCATTGTTTGAGACAGCTACATAAAACCAAATTTAGAATCTAGGATGAATTCAAGGCAATATCGATCAGTTTTTCTAATTGTAATATTTCTAGAGTGTGAGATATTGTTGATCATGACAATAATTTTAGCTATTTTTACATTCTTTCACAGCCTCATGACTTTGACGAATGCAGATTTGATATTAGTGTAAACGATAGTGTTTGGTACCTCCGAGCTCAGGACCCAGACCACAGACAACAGTGGGTAGATGCAATAGAACAACACAAGGTATGTGTTTTTTCTGATTTCCTTTCTCCCTCATTAGATCTAGTGGTGCTTGCAGAGAGTTGTAAGCTTCAGTGTACAGTCATTACAGTAGTCAAGGTATTTCTGACAGATAAAAGTTGCAAGATTGAAGCAGTGTGTTAAATATGTTCCAAAGGAATTGATTTGCTTATCCTTCTTATACAAGTTTAGAGAACTAGGAGCTAAGAACTGAACCTTTCTTGAACTCTCTAGCTTGAAAAAGAAAAAGCTTGCATTATGTTTGAGTGACTTTTTAATTTAGTTATCCTCTCACTGATTATTGAATTGGTTCTCATCTAGATGTCACAGGTGTTAAACTTGTTAGAGTCCATTCTCCTAGGTTATCATTTGGTTTTTAGGCTCATCTCTTTGATCTCTTGACTACTTTAACTGTATCTGATTACTGGCTTTTGTCTCCTTGTCTTTTAAGGTCCTATTGTTCATCAGCATTTTCATTCAGTTTTCCTGATATATGCCTTATCTCTTCCGATGAACCCTGTTACTTTCATTTTGCCTAAAAGGCTTGAAGATCAGATATTTTAAAAATATGTAACACACAAAACATCTGTTATGTTCTCAGATACAGGATAGGCACAGCTCCAAGGATTTGAGTGTAAGTACAATACCTAGCACAATGAAACTTTTGCATTGGGGTTATGCAGGTAGAATCACAGAATATCTCGAGTTAGAAGGAACCCATAAGGATTGAGTCCAACTCCCTGCTCCTTGCAGGACTACTTAACACTAAACAATATGACTAAGAGTCATCCAGATGGTCCTTGAACTCTGACAGGCTTGGTGCTGTGACCACTTCCCTGGGAAACCTGTTCTAGTGACCATCCACCCTCTCAGTGAAGAACCTTTTCCTAATGTCCAATCTGAACTTCCCCGATGCAGTTTCATACCATTTCTTTGTGTCCTATCACTGGTCACCAGAGAGAGGAGATCAGCAACTCCCCCTCCACTTCCCTCCTTGAGGAAGTTGTAGATTGTGATGTCACCCCTCAGCCTTCTCTTCTCCAAGATGAACAAACCAAGTGACCTCATCTGCTCCTCGTAAATTATAGCAGAGTAGTTGAGAGAAGGCTCAAGAAGTAAGACACAGTGATTATGTGGATGATAATGATCAGATTTATTGCTAATACAGTATCTAAACATTGCTGATGCAGTATCTAAATAGCAACTCTATCATCTATTACAATGGATTATGGTATCATCAGGTCGTGGTCCCTCTTGTTGAGTCACGAGCTTCAGTGAGACCCCCTTGCTTTCTAAACTTCTCAGAGAAGTCTTGATGCAGCTTAGTCTCAGATTTGGTCAATAGTCTATGACTAAAGAGTTATAATATAAGCAGTTTCATCTAGAAACATACAGGTTTACAGTCTTTGGCCTTGCAGAATTCACAATTACAAAGCAACAAAGCACCTATGGAACTACTCTAAGATTTTATCTCTGTATTTGACTGTGTTGTCCCTAAAGCAGGGTTCTTTCACTGAGTGTGCAAGAGCCAATCAACACACTGAGTTGAGATATTTGATTTTATTACAGTTCTGCAGAATGGGTGCCAGGCACCTAACACAGCCGGCACACCTTTTAGGAAACAGGCAGAGACTTTTATACAAAAAGGTAACAAGGAAAGACCGATACAGAAACAGGTGATTGTTTACTCATGCTTATATAACAAAATTCTCTGTTCCTGGGGACTCTTCACTGCTCTCATTGCTCTGGCACCCTGTTGACATGGTTTCAAGACCAACCCATAGTTTCTGTGAACTTTTTGATAATTTTAACTTCATCTGACATCAACCGAATCTTAGCACCTTTTTACTCAAAAGTGAAAAGTGGGTGTTCCCAGTCTTTGGGGTAGACATACCTGACAGGCATACAGGGAGGGAGTTGCTGCCTGCAATCTCAGGAGACCAGTTTGCCCAGTTGGCCCAGTCTCCAGCAGCATTTTATACCCTTAAGCAGGCTGATGTGCACCAAAGTCAATCTCAACCATCTCAGCTCCCCCATTTCTGGAATGTATTAATTATGTGAGCAGTTATTCCTGCAATACCCACCTGGTGTTCTTACCTTAGGACAAAACACATTGCCCATCAGAGACTGGAAAGGGAGAGGAGGTGTGTGTATGAGGAGGATGCACGTGAAGACCCTACTATCTTTCATTGCTGTCACATAAATCTTGCCCTCTAGACCCTTCACCATCTTCATAGATGTCCTTTGGATGCTCTCTAATAGCTTTATATCCTTCTTATATTGAGGCACCCAAAACTGCACACAGTACTCAAGGTGAGGCCGTGCCAATGCAGAGTAGAGCAGAACAATCACCTCCCTTGACCAGCTAGTGATGCTGTGCTTGATGCACCCCAGGACCTGGTTAGCCCCTTTGGCTGCCAGGGCACTCTGTTGACTCATATTCAACTTGCCATCAACCCAAACCCACAGATCTCTTTCCATGGGGCTGCTCTCCAGCCTCTTGTTTCCCAATCTGTATGTATAAAAAGGATTACCACATCCCAGATGGAGAATCTGGCTCTTGCTCTTGTTAAATTTCATACAGTTGGTGATTGCCCAGCTCTCTCATCTATCTAGATCTCTCTGTAAGGCCTCTCTACCCTTGAGGAAGTCCACAGCTCCTAATTTAGTATCATCAGCAAACTTAATGTACAGTACATCCTTGCATCCGGATCATTTATAAAAACATTAAAGAGCACTATCCCTAAAATTGAGCCCTGAAGAACCCTGCTGGTGTCTAGCTGCCAGCCTGATGTAACCCTATTTACTATAACTCTTTGAGCCTGACCTGTCAGCCATTTGTTCACACAACCCATTACGGACTGGTCTAGCTGTATGCTGGACACTTTTTCCAGAAGCATACGGTGAAAGACAGTATCAAAAGCTTTGCGAAAATACCAAATACCCCACATCTACTGGCTTCCCTTGGTCAACTAGATAGGTGACCTTGTCATAAAAGGAAATTTAAGTTAGTTAAGTAGGACTTTCCCCTCGTGAACCTGTGCTGGCTGTGACCAATGACTGCGTTGTCTCTGGAGTGTTTTTCAATAACTCACAGAATAACCTTCTCCATAATTTTGCCAGGCACTGAAGTGAGACTGACAGGCCTGTGATTCTCAGGGTCTTCCTTCTTATTCTTCTTGAAAACTGGGACGTTTGCCAGCTTCCAGTAGTCTTTGAGTACTCTAATATGAATTCCATCAGGTCCCATAGACTTATAGGGATCCAGCTGGTGCAGCAAATCCCACACAAGTTCAGGAATGACTGGGAATTTGTTATTCTCACAGTCATGGTCCTCCCGAGGCGAAGAAGGCATTAAATGTCTCTGCTTTGTCTGGGTCTGTATTTGTTAGGTGACTGACCTCATCAAGCCACAGACCAATGTTATCTCTGATTCTCCTTTTGCTGTTAATATGTTAAAAAAAGCCCCTTCACAGTGCTGGCCAGCTTAAACTGTAATGGTGCTCTGTCCACCCAAATTTTCTCCCTACAGTGCTGAATAGCATCTCTATAGTCCTCCCGTGTTGCCTGTCCTTGCTTCCACTGGCCATACACTTTCCTTTAACACCTAAGTTCTAGAAGGAGATCCCTGCTGTATCAGTTTGGCCTGGCTCTCCCGCCAAGTCCAAGCTATCTCCTTCCCCCTCCCGCTCTCCCCAAGCGAGGAAAAAAAAAAAGAACCACAGGGAAAAAACTGAAAAAAAGTTTGAACGAAATGGGATTATATCAAATACATATATATATTACATATATTTACAGTTATATATACAATTTGAATATATTATACACAACAGGGAGCTCCCGAGGGGGAAAAAGGGAAAAGGGAGGAGGAAAACAGGGATAAAAAGAAACCTAAAAACAAATATCTCCTAAATATACCCGTTAATAGAGACCTAACGAAAAAATATAAGAACGAGTGAAATACTTCTCTGAGCGGGACAGCAGAGCTGTGCAAGGCAGCAGCCAACTCCCCCCACGCCTCCCGGAGAGACTGGAGATAACAGCAGGTTGGAGCAGGCAGGCTTTGGCCTATACAAGCAAAACCCATCTACGGAGAGACCTGTCACCTTCAGCCACCGGAAGGGAGAAGAGAGCGAACCCTCTTATCTGCACCTTTTTATATGTTGTGTTACGGAAAGGAATGATATGGAATACTTCCTTGGTCACTTTTCTAGTTCCTTCCTGGTTACAAGCTGGTCTCCAGGAAGGCCTAGGGTGAAAACTGTCACACCTGCTCAGCCAAGCTGGCCTTTTGCCTCACTTGCTTAAGACACTTTTGAATTGCCTGCTCCTGTGCTCTTTAGAGATGGCTCTTAAAAAGTGACCAGCACTGATGGATCCCAGAACCTTCAAAAGCAGATTGCCAGGAAACCTTACTAACTAGTTTCCTGAGCAGCAGCAAAGTTGGACTCAGTATTCCTACAGAGGATCTTCCGGATGTTGAATAGAACGTAGGATTATTTTCTGGGTCTTGTAAACTACCCTGTATTGCAACACCATGATTTTTTTAAATTCAGCTTGAAAACCACTAAATCTCATTCATGTCTAGAACTATCTGCAGATTGTTACCTGTCCTGTACTTGTGCAGTACAATATTTCCTATAACCAAGTAAATCTTAAACTTCATTTTCCCCCAGTGTACACAAGTTTTAAGATTTTGCTGCTCTTCCATGAACTTCAGTCTTTCTAGCTCTGCTGTCTTGGATTTTGGTTTCTTTCCATAAATATTTCTTTGTGCTGCCTGGGTTTGGTTCAATTTCTTTAGTGGTTGTGCTCATTGTTTTATTACTTTCTAAAGAATGGTCAGAATGGAGACTGGCTAGCTGAGGAAAGGCTAGATCATTTAGTGCTAACTTGATTATTAGCTGAGTGCCCTAGTTATGGAGGCCGGGACCAGTTTATCACTATGTGGGTATAACCAAAACTGTGTATTCTACACCGTCTATGTAATTTCTGATGGACTA